AAAAAAATGCATTAAATATAGTTAAGAATATTCTCTCTCGAATTGAGTTAGATTCAAATAGATTAAAATGCTAGGTTTTTCAGAAAATTCATTTAAATGTTTAACAGCAGAATTTCAGATGCATTTGTAAGATAGTCAAAGAGAGACTGTGCATATATATATATATATATATATATATACGGTTTTAAATACCGCATGCAATATAGGGTGGATCCTAGAATAGCCCTACCCATGGCGATTTTTTGAAATCTCGCCAAGCGGCTTTTTGGAAGACTTCTCGAAGATATTTCGGGGAGATATGTTGCAACCTTATTGCAAGATATTTTTTATTTAATTTTATTAAAAATATTTTAATAAATTAGCAATAATTTAAGTTGCTTTTTAATAATAGGAAAAACAACGTAGATCCAAGTAATTATTGCTAACTTGGCGAGATTTCAAAAAGTCGCCAAAAGGTGAGCTATTCTTAAATTTTACCGCAATATAAAAACTAAATTATGCTATTTCTATTTGTGTGGTTTTTTGCTTTGAAATATTTTATGACTTATAAATATAGCTTCGTTAAAAATACCTGCTTTTTTTCTGCATTGATAAGATCGAAGAAACCAGATCCGACTTCAAACGAAATGCTGAATGATTCTTTATCTTGACGTTTAAATTTAAAACTTAAACTGTGCACAAATTTCATAGAGAGGAAACATTTAATGACGATTTCATATATGTATTTTCTTTTTTTTTTTTACAAAATATAGAAAATAATTAATCAAAATAAACATCGTTACGTTGTTCCGAAGATTTAACAAATTTAATCGATCTTTTTCATTTCACTTCTGTTCTTTCTTTTTTAAGGTATTTTTTTGCTTCATTTACAGTTCATCAAAATAATTCGCGTGCGCAAACGATAATAGAAGCACGTGTCAGATTTCAAACAGCCTCAACCTTGTTTAGTTTTTATCCCATTTCTTCAAGGAGATAGTTTGCGTTAGGATGACAATTTACAAATATTTAAGAAAAAAATTGTTTCAAGGAAATATTTGTGAAGAAGGTTTTAAAATCAGACCCCTCGATTAAGAAAAAAAAAGCATGATAAATTAAGCTATTCCAGGAAAACAATAAATTAAATAGTCAATTCTTAAATTTTTTAATTGAATTCGTTTATATAGCTGCGAATTGAAGTAGATTTTGTGGTAGACTATAGATTATAGTTATTATTTTTTTTTTTAGTTTCTCCTGATCTCTTCATTAAATCAAAACTTCTTTCAGTTTCCGGTGTTTCATTATTTTAGAAAATTTTTTTTAGAGTGAAAAATTTTTGAAAGGAAATCCCTATAAAAATGGATATTTTTACACAGCTTATTGTTTGTTTGATACTTTAGATGAGTAATTACAGCTAAATAATTCATGAAATGCCATAAATAATTTATAAGCATTATTATGTTTAAATTAATTGGAAAATATTTATTTACTGTTATTTTTAGATTGTGTGTTAATAAAAATCTTAAATTTATAAGTTATGTATAATTTATAATTAATTAAAAAGTAGTTTAATATTGTACTATTTAAAATTCTGAAAATATTATTAAGCACAATTCACTATAGTAAGAGATAAAAGAGATTTCATCATCATTTACTCTATTAATTTCATTATTTACTCTTCATTATTTATTCTTATAAATTTTCTCATTTACTCTTTTATGCTCCCAGTAATAACTATGAAAAGGTGCATTTACTTGTGACGACAATCTCACTCTAACAACTCTACTATAAGGTTCTTGTTCATAAGGTTACATGTTCCCAGTAATAACTATAAATAGGTATATATATTTGTGACGACAATCTCACTCTAACTACCATTCCATCTACTATAAAGTTCATGTTCATAAGGTAACATGTTCCCAGTAATAACTATAAATAGGTACATTTATTTGTGACGACAATCTCACTCTAACTACCATTTCATCTACTATAAGGTTCATGTTCATAAGGTTACATGTTCCCAGTAATAACTATAAATAGGCATATTTATTTGTGACGACAATCTCACTCTAACTACCATTCCATCTACTATAAGGTTCATGTTCATAAGGTAACATGTTCCCAGTAATAACTATAAATAGGTATATTTATTTGTGACTACAATCTCACTCTAACTACCATTCCAACTACTATAAGGTATTGTCTTTGCAGAAAACATTTACTGTGTTTTTTTTTCTATGGCTACTTTATTTTTGTTTACCCCCTATTGTCAAACAGAACTCTAATAATAAATTCTAATAATAAAAATTTATGATATTTAAAACTTGTAAATACATTTACTGATACATTACACTGATTTTAAAATTGAATTCTAGGAAAATGAAGAAAGTGTGATATGGCCGATTCTTTTAAATTCTCCAATCATAGCATTGCTTCTTTCAAATTTCTTCACCTCTGATCCGGAAGATGTCTACGGTATAAACGTCAATCTAAAAGCTGTCATTACAATTTTGTGTTTTACTTATGTTTATACGGTAAGTATTGCTAGCAAAAATCAACAGCTATATTATCTCTAAACCTCGGAAGCCGCTAACGTGGGAAGCAGGGATAGCCTGGTTAGTAGGGCTGTAGACCCATGTCCAAGAGATTATGAGTTCGATCCCCCCCCCCTGCGGAAGTCTCCTCATGTAGTAAATGATGAATGGAGCAAATTAAATCTGTCGGGTTACAAAGTCCTTCATATTCCCATAACAAATCAGTACCTCGGGTAGCACTGAATTGAAGATGGATAGTTCTCCGGTTCAGGTGAAAATTAAGACCCGTGTATGAATGAATGGAAGTATGAATGGGTCCTCCCTGGGATGTGACGCGTGGGTGGCTGAAGACGTATTCTTGGCATAAATGATGCCAATGAAAAGCATGAAACACACCCTCTTTCATAAATTCACTTGGTTTCTCCAACCAGGCTTGCTGATATCGGCATGTGGCATTAGAAACAACTACAACAAAGTATAGATTGTTTGATTGTAGTAACTTGTTAATTTAAGTGTCAAGAAGTAACTGACTTTATGCTAATTTAAGCGCATAGAAACTTTGCTACTGCTTTAGCAAAATCTTATTTTGACCTCGAAGATTAATTAATAGGTAATGAGCAAATTACTTTGTGGATTATCAAGAAAATTAAACAGTTTTTGGTTTTTCCAGAAAGTTTTAGGTAATATGTATGTTACCTAGATAATCAGCAGAATAACTGATTATTGCGTTTTATTTAAAACAGTTATATAAATTTTTTAAAAAAATGATTTATTTGCTTTTTTTTTTTTCGTTTAGAACAATGCTTCGTTTTTGCACTCGTGTTTCTCAGACTGTCTGCACCCGCAGAATTTTTACTACCACATGTTACTAGTAATTTTCAAAATAACAAATGATTTTTGACATACAGTCGTTCACACTTAATTGCATATCGGTTAATCGAATAATTCACTTATGCGAATAAAATTTAATGGAAAGAAATTGTTTTATATAAAACTATCGTTATATTTCCCGGTTTAAACGGAAATTTATTGTCTCCCGTCCTCGCTTAATGGCATAAAGAAAAGATGCTTAATGAGAAAAAAAATGACTTTTAAGAAATGTTTCACCAGCTAGTATGGAATTTCCGTCTTTTAATTAAGAAGAAAGAAAGCAAAAGGGGGTTACTTATATGCGAACTTCCTGTTCATTTGTTGCTCTAAATAGGTGTTAGGGGTAGAGTTTGAGAATCCTGTTTTACGAAGGATCTGTAGTCGCTTGCAATTATACTTTTTTGAGCATAATATGTTATTTTCATAACTGATGTAAGTTTGCTACAGTTTCTCATGGCCGTAAGGTCAAGTTTAGCTTACGTTTAGCCAGCGCCATTTATGTTTGTTAACTAACGCAAAACGTTATAGAGAAAAGCCACAGTTTCAGAAAATAAGAAGCGTTTGTGGTCGAATTTTTTAACGTGTAGAAACTTACTCCAATGCTGTATTATCTTGACTCATAAAAATTTACAAAAAAAAGGGGGGTGATGTCGCATTGATTTCGATTATTTTCCTTTAAGGGGAAAAATTTCCCCAAATTGGCGAAATTTAAAAAAATTTAATAACTTTATCAATTTTTTACTTATTTGTCCGTTCTAACGTCCAGATTATCCCTTACAGCAAGGTGGCATTTACAGTTTATACTTTGGTTTTGGCGTATTCAAATTATAGCTTTGCCTTAAGTGTAAGGCAATTAAATTGTGGTTTTTTTTCTTCTTTTTTTTCTTGGTGAAAGAGCTTCAAAAAACCTTGTCAAATCTTGCAGGCAGCTATATACTCGAGAAAATGAAGGGGTTTTCAATAACACCCTCCTAGAAGCGAGAAGGCCTCAGCACGGCCATCCATAAGCGAGAAATTTGATACTCTAGTAATCCAAGAGTAATAAAATCCTCCGTAATAACTCCCACTGCGCAACTTAGTAGCCCGAATGTAGTGTTCCTTAAGAATAAATCAACTGGTTCAATTTTTGTGGTGCATTTTTGTGTGAACCTAAAAGATGAGCTTTTGAATTATCAGCAATTTCTGTATATTATCGTTGAATCAGATAATAACATTCTAGTATGCTGGAAAAAATGTATACATTTTAAAAGAATGTTTTAAAATAAAATGATATATATTTATATATGCAAATAATTCTATGAATTTTCATGCGAAATATTAAACAAATATGATTTCTTTTTTCAGTGTATACGCGTATTTGTGTACCAAGATGTTATGAAAAGTCAACCGTCATCACTCCAAGCCGGAAGAGCTCATGATGCTGATAATACAAATGACGAAAATCCTCAAAATTGGAATCCTCAAAAATGGAGAAATTTTAATTTTTGTCTTTTTATTTTGGCTGCCATTTTTTTTCCAGATTATGATGACAGGCGAGCGATCTTCCATGGTTTAGCCCCTCCACTTTTCCTCGTTGCATTTTCTGTGGTAAGCATTGATCGTAAACAAATCAGTAAATATGTTGAAGGTTAATTGTAAACTGGATTGTCCCACATGCATTTAATAATGTAATGAGTAGTAGGCATAGTCCTTGGTTTTCTTTTGTAATCCGTCTGATACGTTTTAGGCTCAATACATATCCATCTCTTTCCCTTTAGTCTATTTCGAAAATCTATTAAGAGTTATTCAGTTTTAAAATACGATTACATATGTGCTGTAAATATACAATTAAACCATTAATGGAGCTATTTGGAGTATTTTTACTTATTGCGAATTGCCTGATCAATAAGCTGAACGAATCAGGTTAATTAAATTATGAGGGATATACTTTCTAGTTAGCTTAAATTAATGTGGGTACTATAATAAATTTAAAAGTCTGATTGAAAAAAGCTGCAGCTAGAAATGCTATATATGTATATGGGTGATTCTCACGAAACATGACAATTCACTGTCCCTTGCTCCAAGATCTAATACTATAATACTAAAAGAGCTTTTTTTTTTAAAAAAATTAATAAATAGCATTGCTGTTAGCATTTTAAAATGACTTTGCACTAGCATTGACTGTTTTGTATACTTAAAAAATTTAATTGAATATCAAAATGTCATTTTCCTGGCATGTCCCAAACAATATTTCCAATAATAACTAGCTTCAAAACTTCGCATACATTTTTCAAAATCTAATTTTTTTTATCTTATCCTGTGTAAGCATTTCTAGAATATACGCAGAGGGTATTGTTTACTGAAACTTCGTTTAAAATAATTTTTTCTGTCAATAATTTGTTTGTCACATGAAAATCAGTCATTTTTCCAGGCTACTTTTATTTAGTGATTTATAACCAAAATAGATAGCGCCAGGAATCAATATCTTATGTTAATAGATTGATTAGCTACCCTCCTATCTGAACATGTCTTGTTGCATGAATAAAGAACCAATTTTCTGGCTCAAAATCTATTTCAAAAAATTTTTCAAGGTGAGTAGGTTTTCATGCTGTCATTTTCCTGGCTTCTTGAAATCCTTAATAACAAAAACTACATAGATTTATCTGAGTTATTTTAAGAAATATTGTTGTCTTCTGCAGAATATAAACGTCTTTGGCTAAAATATTAAATTAAAGTATAGTTATGCTATAAAATGGCAAATTTGTCATTATCCTGGCTGTCATTTTCCTGGCTTATGAATGCCAGGTCATTGAAGTGTTACCAGCAATTCTTTTTAACTGCTAATACTGTAAAGAGGGAAAGCAAATATTAACCTCATATGAAGTTTATGTATGATTGTAATATGCTTGGATGTAATCAAAGTTATTTATTTATTTAATGATTGATTATTATACACAATTTTATTCTATACATATCAGCAACAAAATTTTTGTTTGTTTCTTTCTACAGTGGATAAAAAGAATTAATTTAAGCAATTCATGGTCCATCTAACGCAAAGGCTTAAGTTGAGTTACTTACTATTAGCTTAAAATGACTGTTTTTTAAACTTCTAAGGTAATATGTCATTTTCCTGGCATTCAAGATTTGGTGAATTTCTATTTTATTTTTTCTCTCGCGCAAATGTCAATAAACTACTCTGCTGTCTATAAGATATTAATAAGTGTAGCTAAAGAAGTATACAAATAAAATGTTAGATTATTTTGAAGACTTTAAATTTGAAGAAATTTTTTGGTCCGAATTGTCATGTTTCGTGAGAATCACCCATATATGCCTTTATGTTTGAGTGTAGCTATGGTTAGAACCAAAAATATCTGAAAAATGGCAGCAATTGGGGTCATCTTGACCCCCATAAGAAATTTACGTTTTTTCAAAGTGAATGATTTTTTAAATGATGAATATTGTTGAAAATATAATATGTAAAAGTTTAAGAGATTCAAAAAAAAAACTTTTTTTAACGAATTAACAATACAGAATAAAGTAATTGTGTGATTCAGATTCTTTTGCAAGAGCGCAAAAATACGAAAATAAACAAACGACATGAATTGAAATAATATACATTAGCTCACAGCTTGTTTTAAAATGTTAAGTTCTATCACTAAATAGACAGCTAAAGCGTAGACAGTACATCCGGGTGACGTGAAAGTGACAATGATAGTTTCGACAAATAATTTTCCAGCATTTCTCATAACTAGTACATTTGTTTTATTCTGTGCCTTGAGTTGTTAAAAGGAGTGTTTCTTAAATTTTAGAGAATGAATTTCATCATTTAGAAAAAATTAGTAATTTTTAGGTCATCAACAAACTCAAGAATGAATTCGTCATGTATAACTGGGATGATTGGCAAAAATTTCTTGAAAACAATTCAATCATTGTGGACAGTAATATCACAACAGTGTAAAAGAAAGGCAAGACTCCTGCAACTTTCCCATCTTGTTGAGAAGTCCTTGGAATATATAGTGCGGCTTTCAGGAGAACTCCTCCAGGCATCAGTTTCGCGTCGTGGCGGGTGCCATGGTTACGAGAGAAATTCACTTAGAATAGGGGTATGGGTAAATAATTTTGTCTTGCATAGGTCATCGTTGTATAGGTTTTGATCGTTGCATAGGTCAGCTTGAGTAAACCAATCGACACCTTCATTTCTCCATTTCACCCTCATTTCAAATGTGCTCTCGCTTTTTACCATAGCATCAGACAGCCCCAGACTTTAAGTCTGGAGGAGTTCTCCTCAAAGCCGCACTATAGCCTGGTATGTCTATGTCACATTTCGCGCTATTGTTGTAAAGTGACAGTGCTCGGCTTCTACTATGTTCTATCATCTGAAAACACATTCGAATTAGTACTATTCAGAATTATGGTAATCTTTTTCTTTTGGGCCTACATAATAAGTATATAGTTTTCATTTTGCAGTGCAAAAAACGATTGGAAAGGAATGCTTAGGAGTGGTTTCATAATTAGAGCTCTCAATTTTCCCGAGGTTGTAATTCATTTGCCCGTTTTTCAAATTAAACCACACAAAAAAAGACAGCCATATAAAAAAAAAGCTTTTTGGGATTTTATGTAAGTTGAAATTATGTGGCTTGAATGTCACACAATAAAATTTCATTATTACTTACATGACAATAACTTTTCAATAATAATTTACTTTCTTGTCCTGGATTGTAATAAATATAGCTGCTTATAATCAGCATCACATGGTTTCTTTCAGACACAATGACGAAACTATAATTCAATAGGAACCCAACTATACTATTTCGTTAATTGAATTTAAGATACGAATAAATGTCGCGAAACTGTGGCGCTAGACATAATTTTAACACGGTGGGCCCTAATTTCTATTCTGCAATTCATCTTCTTAATGCTTACTGCGCTGCAAAATCAAAAACACACACATAGTATAAGGTATCAGTAAGACATTTTGCTGTTAGTGGGAATCTCGTGACCTATTTAATAAACCAATTACAATTACTAAGATTTCCTTTCTTACCTAAAACGAGACATTTTACGGATTTTCTTTGTAAGATTTTCCCTAACTTTCATGGAGCAACACGACGATTTTGGGTTATATATATATATATATATATATAACCCAAAATCGTCGTGTTGCTCCATGAAAGTTAGGGAAAATCTTACAAAGAAAATCCGTAAAATGTCTCGTTTTAGGTAAGAAAGGAAATCTTAGTAATTGTAATTGGTTTATTAAATAGGTCACGAGATTCCCACTAACAGCAAAATGTCTTACTGATACCTTATACTATGTGTGTGTTTTTGATTTTGCAGCGCAGTAAGCATTAAGAAGATGAATTGCAGAATAGAAATTAGGGCCCACCGTGTTAAAATTATGTCTAGCGCCACAGTTTCGCGACATTTATTCGTATCTTAAATTCAATTAACGAAATAGTATAGTTGGGTTCCTATTGAATTATAGTTTCGTCATTGTGTCTGAAAGAAACCATGTGATGCTGATTATAAGCAGCTATATTTATTACAATCCAGGACAAGAAAGTAAATTATTATTGAAAAGTTATTGTCATGTAAGTAATAATGAAATTTTATTGTGTGACATTCAAGCCACATAATTTCAACTTACATAAAATCCCAAAAAGCTTTTTTTTTATATGGCTGTCTTTTTTTGTGTGGTTTAATTTGAAAAACGGGCAAATGAATTACAACCTCGGGAAAATTGAGAGCTCTAATTATGAAACCACTCCTAAGCATTCCTTTCCAATCGTTTTTTGCACTGCAAAATGAAAACTATATACTTATTATGTAGGCCCAAAAGAAAAAGATTACCATAATTCTGAATAGTACTAATTCGAATGTGTTTTCAGATGATAGAACATAGTAGAAGCCGAGCACTGTCACTTTACAACAATAGCGCGAAATGTGACATAGACATACCAGGCTATAGTGCGGCTTTGAGGAGAACTCCTCCAGACTTAAAGTCTGGGGCTGTCTGATGCTATGGTAAAAAGCGAGAGCACATTTGAAATGAGGGTGAAATGGAGAAATGAAGGTGTCGATTGGTTTACTCAAGCTGACCTATGCAACGATCAAAACCTATACAACGATGACCTATGCAAGACAAAATTATTTACCCATACCCCTATTCCAAGTGAATTTCTCTCGTAACCATGGCACCCGCCACGACGCGAGACTGATGTCTGGAG